GTTAGACTATATATATATATATATATAACCTGCTATTTTAAAGTCAACCTGAACTGGCATTTGCTATCCATTTTAGTCCAGTGATCTGAGGTGTTTTATTTTTGAGTCAGGAAATTCAACCAGTGTTATTTTAGTATCATTGAGATTCTAGAGAAAGAGAGAGAATGAGATAGATAGATAGATAGATAGATAGATAGATAGATAGATAGATAGATAGATAGATAGATAGATAGATAGATAGATAGGTAGATAGATAGATAGAGTATCATTGAGATACTATTATACATAGTTATATTTGATAGTTTATATTTTTTTGAAAATAAAAAATATATATTTTTCCCATTTTCATTTTAGCTCAAGTTGTAGTAATTTTGTAATGTGTTTGCTTGTAATTTTATTAGATATTTTGATAGATAGATAGATAGATAGATAGATAGATGATAGGTAGGTAGGTAGGTAGGTAGGTAGGTAGATAGACATTTTTCAACATGAAAAATAAAGCAGTACAAGACTGAATCATTAAAGAGTGAGTGTTACCAGAATGCAGCCTATAACAAAGCCTAACTAGCTAATTGGTTAATAGTTAGTATTATCCAAATGACGTTAGCTGAAATTAAAAGAGGAATTTCAGAGCAAGAGCTAGACATTACATGCAGAATAACACGAGACTAGTTATAAAAATTGCTAGCTAACCTTGTTTGTTAGGTTGCATGCCATATTGAAATGCATCTTGTAAGAAGTAATAGAAGTGCTTTGCTCAAAATATGAGCTTCAGATTTGTGCTTTTAAATGCTTGATTGCCTGGACCGATACGCTTTACTAGTGTCCTGCCACGACCTTCAGATGAGATGACCTCTGCAAAACATTTTACTGGCAAAATCAAATAACTCAAGAGTCGTAATAAATCATGATTCAGATTCACTGGGACTGCATGACATGATAAAAAGGAACAGACATCACATTTGATGAAAAGGTTGTTTTATTCCCCCTGATAACACACGGTGTAGCATGAAATGAGAGGTTATTGCTTAAATTATGTTTTTCGGCTGAGCTAAGCAGCCCTCTGTAAGATGACTAAATAGTTGCATCAACCAAAGGATCATTAGAAGGTGTTTAAGTGCATAAATGCGTTCATTTGATGTGGTCACTTTGATGATTTGATTTGATCGCTTTGGATAAAAGTGTCTGCTAAGTGCGTAAATGATGTTCATTTTGTGCTAAATCAATGTTAAATGCAAGTAATAAAATATATCTGTGGAATCATATGTAGTCAGGATGGCAAACTAAACAGGGTTGTTAAAGGAATAGCTCACCCAAAAATGAAAATGTGCTGAAAATGTACTCACCCTCAAGCCATCCAAGATGTAGATGAGTTTGTTTCTTCTTTAGATTTGGAGAAATGTAGTAATATATCACTTGCTCACCAATGGATCCTCTGCAGTGAATGGGTGCCGTCAGAATGAGAGTCCAAACAGCTGATAAAAACATCACAGTAATCCACACCACTCCATAATCCACACTCTCAGAAAAAACGGTACAGAAGTTGTCACTGGGGCGGTACCTTTTCAAAAGGCACACCTTTGTACCTAAAGAGTCCATATTTTTACCTTAAAAGTACATATTAGTAACTAAAGTGTACATATTAGTACCTAAAAGTATACCTTTTGAAAAGGTACTGCCCTAGTGACACCTTTTGTACCTTTTTTTCTGAGAGTGCATAATAACACTTCCTCCAGTGAAAAAGTTTTCCTCCAAAATCCACTGATTATTAGAACTGATTTGGATTAGTTTTCTTGTAAACCGTGCTTGATCTGAGCATATTTCCCTCCTGATTCAGACCAGATGACTTCTGGAGAAAGCATCATTATGGATAGAGGACTTGCATTTTAGCCTGAAACAATAGCTTGATGATGAATTTGTTTCTTGAAAAAAGCAGCTTTTCACAATACATTAATTGATGGACTGGTGGAGTGCGGATTACTTGTGGATTATTGTGATGTTTTTATTTTTTCTTGAATGGCCAGAGAGCGAGTCATTTTTCAGCAAAATTTCTTTTTTCTTTTTTTTTTTGGTTGAATTATTCCTTTAGCCTTTAAAAGGGAGAAATATGCTTTTTGTTGTTGTCGATGTCACAAGCTGTGTGTCAAATCAAACTTTGCTGTGCTATGCTTGTCATTTGTTAGTTGCAAGTCAACTTAAGCTAATGCCAGCATAAACAGATTGTGTGATGCAGAGCTTGATTTCAGGCCGATTTTGGGAACTTTTCTATTTCACACACTGTTTTTTTCTAAGCAAAACCAGTCACAACTCAACATGACTGATCTTGGGAACCTGAATCACATGATTAATACATTTCAGAGTTTGATTTTAAGCATATCTTGTGTACTTTTCCATGAAAAACGGTTCTTTTTTCCAAGGAAAACCAGTCGCAACTCAACATGATTGAACTTGGGAACCTGAATCACATGAGTGACACTCTTAGTAGATAAAAACGTGTTTATAAATCTGATTTCACAATGAAACCAACGGTCCTCCATCCAAATGCACCCATGCAGTGTCATCCTGTGACAGTCTTTTGCTCTGATGAGGTTTATGTTTGCAAGGACAATCCGCACGCTTTCATCAGCCCTGGAAGTTTCCTCCCACGTACTTCTCTTTTTTTTTTCCTGCATCCTCCAACCCGTCTTGTTGGGCCGTTGCATGTGCACGGCGGCACCGAGCAGCACCATCCTCCAAAATCCCGATGAGGTGGAAGAACCGATGACTATACCGCCTGCTGGGCTCAAGTGGCTTCAATTACAGATGCTCACAATTACAGAGGAAAAGAATAGGGTTGGGCAGAACGTGCCAAGCACAAACACTGCCTGGATCACAGGAGGAGAAGGAGGGGGAGAGCAGGAAAGTCAAACGCTACCATCCCACCCAACCGCCGTCGGGTTATTTTGGGATCTCAGTAGTTTCAGAGTTTAGATACTAACTGGATTTTACTTATTGGTTAGAATTAGATTTAAACTTTGTCTTCACATCTGAGATTTGAGACTTATTTTTCTGGAAACTACTTGAAATTTACCTTCCAGAGTCAGAGGTTGTAAAACACATATTAGTGAAGTCATTCTAAAGACTATTAGCTCTTACGATTGAAATGCCATAGGCATGGATTTGTAGATTTGCTGTGTTTACATGAGGCAATTTTGGTGTTTGTTTACTGTGGAGTGTCATTTTCCCTAAACAGCCATTTACTGGGCCACATGATTTGAATAACAGGATTGCGTGGCTATTTGCTTGAAGATTACATCAAACGTCATTAAAAGCAAACAGCAAAGGACAGATCTGCTGCCTGGTAGCACCTCCTGCACACAAAAAAAGAACACTCTGAGCCACATGATAAGACACCCAGAATGCATTTGCTTAGCGTAAATCTCTAGTCTCTGCCGTGTGACCTCTGTGAAACATTTAACTTGTAGAAGATCAAAGAGCAAATCTGATGTTTGAACACTGTTGGCCTGGCGAGGAGCTCCCAGAAGAATGGTTTAATACTCAGATGATGCTCAGAGTTTTTATAGCTCAGGAGGCTTGTTGGAGATCTCCGTTATGCTTCATTGAGGTGTCAAATTTGTCTCAGATGCAAGTCTTAAAAAACACATTTTCACACAACTCTGATCATTTGGCTTTATAGGAACATATCATTCATTGTTGAACTTCTGATCGCAGATGGGCAAATCTGAGCACAGTTTGAGACATTGTTAAGCTCTTTTGAAACTGTAGAGGATACTTGTGAGATTCTTTTTCTCAGTAGAAACAACTGAGATGCAGAAGACTAAAGCAGAAGTCTCAATTTGCTCTCCATTTAATCTTGTTGCTGTCAGAAGAAAGAACTGCAGTATTCTTATTATTTTAATTTTCCTATACAGGAAAATATATACCCATCTGGCAAAAAGTGAAAAAAAAAAATATATATATATATATATATATATATATATATATATATATATATATATATATATATATATACACACACACACATTTTTTCCAAAATATACACATACAAAAAAAAAGAAAAAGCTAAAATATATTTACATAAATATATTTTCTACCAATATATTTTGGCCATTTGTTTTGTATATTTTTGAAAATTTATTTTGAAATTATACTGTATATATTTTACCATATGAAGGTTGAAACTGTAGCTCAATTTAAAAATGCATTACTTGAGCTTCACTACTTAAAACATATATTTTGGACAGAAAAAATAATTGACCTATGGGCACAGACACAAAAATAAAAATATTTTTGGACGATGTTGCAAATTAAAAAGAGGAACATTTTCATTCTGCACCGCATTTGTTTAAATACTTTTGCATATGCTGGTGTGACATTAATCAATCATTTCGGTTCGTTTTCCCATAAGAGAAAGAATGTGCATAAACGCATAAAAATATTTGGTCAACTTTTAGGAGAACACTAGCATATAGATTACTTTAAAACGAAAAAAAACCCCACAAAAGTCCAAATTTGATTTCATAAGCACAGAAGGGGGAACTGAAATTAATATTTTCATGGTGGTATCTTCATTTTTGGGTGATGTAGTAATTTTTGTTGACTGGAAGATTAAATGATTAGTCTGTATTTATTAGCAAAAAGATGCAACCAATTTCTCATCTCTCAGCATCATGACCTTAATTGTTGTAATCCAGACATATCCGTCTGTTTTTACAGTCTACTCAACATCTGGGTTGCTAGAGAATCCTACATGAAGGGCGGGATGATGCCATTCATTATGACAGGGATGATTGACAACAACATTGTAAAAACATTTACGCGGTTCTTAAACTATGATAAGATATTCCGCTCTGTATTTAGATGAAAATAAAAATTAAACTCAATCATTGTGTGATTAAGTTATACTAAGTCCCCTCAAAACATATACGCGTACCATACGCGTCTCAACGCTCCCCTACCGTGCGAATGGTACGCTCCATTTTAAAGCGATAGCTGCGAGTCCACGCTTCTAAAGTAAAGCGCGACGCTTTCTTGAGGTGCGGACTGGAGAATACCATGCCATCGACGCGCTGAGCGCATTTACGGCTTCATACGGGCGTTCTGCACAGGAAAATAAAGCGATATCTCCGAATCCGTCCGCGATAAGCACCGAGAGGCTCTACAAAACCCAACTGTGGATGTAACTGTTGCACTCTGAACACAGGTACGAGTGATACACAAACACTCGCGCGAGCGATTCATTCTGATGCATGGCTTTATTGTAGCGAAATCGTGAGTGCAGGATCTGGAGATGTAGCGCGTGCTGCTTTTACCTTTACCACAAAAACAAACAAACAACGCGATCTAGTAGATGAGTGGATAGATGGTTAAACTGCTGTGTGGAAATGATCCTGATGGATGTGGTCAATAAAGCCAGCAAGAACAAAGGGGGCATTAAAAGCAGTGTTTAGCGAAAAGGGGGGCAACATATCCGTGCATGTGTGTTGTGCATTAAAAAATGCATTGAAATGATTTGACTGTTTTTAGTAGTCAATACACAGTGGATAATTATTCCAGTCTTGCCTGTAGGTGGTTGTGCATGGATCTAACACATGCACATTGACATTTCAGATGGAAAGTTGCTTTGGATAAACAGCACAGACCACAATCAGGGGTCATAATTCAAGAAAATCGCATTGTTTTAGTTAATTAAGACAAACAGATTGAGTAGATGCATGGACAAATGTGATATCAGGCAATCAATCTGTTTGTCTGTCACATCTGTAAGTCACATGACTAAAAAAAATATTGTTTGCCTCTAGGCAAATGACCCAAATGTTGTTCCTCCAATTAAAGCCTAAACTAAAATCAAATGTAGCCTATTGCTTAATTTGCTCATTGATTTCGTTTATTTGCTTGCATGGGTAATTGATGCGTTGAGATCCCCCCCGATAAGATGCAGTTGATGGGTTTGTACAAGATTTGATCATTCAAATCCTTGTGTGCCAGTTTGATCCATGTCTGGGTGGAGAATACACAGTGGATAATTATTCCAGTCTTGCCTGTAGGTGGTTGTGCATGGATCTAACACATGCACATTGACATTTCAGATGGAAAGTTGCTTTGGATAAACAGCACAGACCACAATCAGGGGTCATAATTCAAGAAAATCGCATTGTTTTAGTTAATTAAGACAAACAGATTGAGTAGATGCATGGACAAATGTGATATCAGGCAATCAATCTGTTTGTCTGTCACATCTGTAAGTCACATGACTAAAAAAAATATTGTTTGCCTCTAGGCAAATGACCCAAATGTTGTTCCTCCAATTAAAGCCTAAACTAAAATCAAATGTAGCCTATTGCTTAATTTGCTCATTGATTTCGTTTATTTGCTTGCATGGGTAATTGATGCGTTGAGATCCCCCCGATAAGATGCAGTTGATGGGTTTGTACAAGATTTGATCATTCAAATCCTTGTGTGCCAGTTTGATCCATGTCTGGGTGGAGAGGAGAGGGGCTGTGGCTGGCTGCAGTAGCCGGCTCAGGGATGCTCTCACCCGGTCTGAGATTAGTGCGAGCTCCGCTGGAGGAGGAACCGAGCAAAACGCTTTTTACACCAAACCGAAATCTTCTCTCCCTCTTTCTATATATATCACAGTATATGCTTTGGGGGAAATTATAATCTGCATATGAAAATTAAATGTATATAATTGCATCCAACGCTATACATAGCACATATTTTTAATATGTATTTTAAGTTGTAACATTGTAAATAATAATAACTGCATTATCATTATCATTATTATTATATTTTCTTATAAATATTTTCTTTTTTAATCGCATTCCTAAGGTTTTTGTGTTGGGTGACTAGTCAGTGGTTCAAGTTTTGTTATTGTAAAAATGATTTAGTCAATAAGTCATGGAAACAGGGGTTTCCATTACTTCAACTCATCAAATGTAACCAATTCCAACTATTTTTTTTAAAGTCGGTTTGATATAATTGAAGTTGACCAACCTGCTTTTATTGTACTTACAAATTTAAGTTCAAGTTCAGTTAGGTACACATTTTTTACAGTGTGCCTAGTCATACTAGATGCCATATTTAATATTTTGTGAAGGAAAATGAGGCTGAGACTTGTTTAAATGGGTGTTATTGTTGTGTACCTGAATGTTGATTTTTTTTTCCCGTTTGACAAATATAATATATAATATAAAAAATGTGACTTTCCTTGTGACACAAAATCTGTAAAAAAAACATGTCTTCAATTATTAGATGTGGCAAAGACAGTGCAAGCTGTTGAACATCGCATAGATGTGGCAAAGACCGTGCAAACTGAACATCCCATCTATCACAGCCTCTTTTTCATTCAAAATGTAATATTTCCTACTCTTAATAATGTCTATAACTTTTTGTATCTATGATTTATGCCTGGCAGACTATTAAAAAGAGTCAAATGAGTGACCCGAGTCATATTTAGGGACCATAATATCATAGAAATTTGAGGTTGAGCTGTTTTGACTTTGGTTAGTGAGTCAATAAATCTAGTTTTAGTTACTATTGCATTTTTATCATATCATTAGTGCTACAAATACACTGTAAGAATGTTTTAGAGATTGTTGCAGACATTATCGGAGTAGTTTCTTTGTACTTATTTACGAAATATTCTAGTGAATATTGTTTCTACACCAAATTTATTTCAGTGTGTGTTTACTATTCTTTTTTATTCCTGCAATCATTTAGGAGTGAAAGAGAGAACGTAAACAAAATGTTTGACCCCGGCCTCCAACAGGATGAGACTCAGAAACTAAAACAACAGAAAGAGGAAAGAATCGGAGGACACGTGGAGGTTCCTCCGCTGCCTTTTGTGACCCTGAGAGCTCATAATGCTCAGGGTCATGAGTCATGACCCTCAGAAGAGAAGAGCACTATATATGTGATGCTGAATTATTTTGGGGATTGAATGTATGGAGGATTCGGCCCTTTGTTGACTCAATATTGTAGTCACTCGAGGACAGAGCCGCTTATGGCCAGGACAGCGTCTTGCCAACAGATACAGCAGATGATATTTGCCTCGAGCTCTATCTGTTATATCAAATGACTTGGGTTTTATTTTACTTTGCTCTTTTTTCATTTGAAACAATATTTTTTGTAGAGAAGAAGAGGCATGGGAAGAATGTTTGAATAGTTTGCATAAGTATGAAGCCATTTCTGACAATGGTTTTGTTTTATATTGGGTTGTCAATCAATTAAAAACCCTAATTGAGCTAATTACACGATAAGCCAGTTAATTTGTCAAATTAAATCACGATTAATCACGTATATCAATGTTTGCTGAGAAAAGCCCTCTAAATGAAGATCATTCAAAGGCATTGTTACTTTGGCAGAAGAAAGCATTGAATAGACAAGACAAAAAGTGGATTTAGAAATCAATATATTGATTAGTTCTATATATCATTGCATGTAAGTCTATCCCACAGCGTTTTGTTTTGCAGTTTAGTTTGTCATTTAGTCGGAGTTGAATTTATTTATTTATTAATCATTATTAAAACTTAAATTACTTATAGTTTAATGTATAGCTTTATAGATTGTACACTTGTATACATTTGCATTTTCCCATGCGCGTCCTATGTTTATGTAACTGGGTTGTGCTCGGCGTGTTCTTTTTCATGGAAAATGGAGATGGAAGAATAACAGATTTATGTTTATGCATTTATGATTCAGCAGACACCCCTGATTACCACAGTCACGATGATTAAATCGGATGAGGCAGCAGCATTATGAAGTTTATTTGAGGCATGTACGCTTCCTGTTGGCCTGATGGGTCTCAGTGTGGATTCATCCATGTGTGATATCATGAGTCCAATCCTGTGAAAAGAGCAATTTAGATTTTTTTTCCCCCCATAGTCTTCGTTCTAATCAAGAGCTGTTGACCCCCATTACAGAAGTCAGGAGAAGAGGATTAGGAGAAGAGGATTCTGTTGTGAGTCCTTGATTAGATGGACTAGTGATCTATTTCTCTCTCTCTCTCTCTCTATAGCTTTATAGATTGTACACTTGTATACATTTGCATTTTCCCATGCGCGTCCTATGTTTATGTAACTGGGTTGTGCTCGGCGTGTTCTTTTTCATGGAAAATGGAGATGGAAGAATAACAGATTTATGTTTATGCATTTATGATTCAGCAGACACCCCTGATTACCACAGTCACGATGATTAAATCGGATGAGGCAGCAGCATTATGAAGTTTATTTGAGGCATGTACGCTTCCTGTTGGCCTGATGGGTCTCAGTGTGGATTCATCCATGTGTGATATCATGAGTCCAATCCTGTGAAAAGAGCAATTTAGATTTTGTTTCCCCCCATAGTCTTCGTTCTAATCAAGAGCTGTTGACCCCCATTACAGAAGTCAGGAGAAGAGGATGCTGTTGTGAGTCCTTTTATGTTTATGCATTTATGATTCAGCAGACACCCCTGATTACCACAGTCACGATGATTAAATCGGATGAGGCAGCAGCATTATGAAGTTTATTTGAGGCATGTACGCTTCCTGTTGGCCTGATGGGTCTCAGTGTGGATTCATCCATGTGTGATATCATGAGTCCAATCCTGTGAAAAGAGCAATTTAGATTTTGTTTCCCCCCATAGTCTTCGTTCTAATCAAGAGCTGTTGACCCCCATTCAGGAGATCAGGAGAAGAGGATTCTGTTGTGAGTCCTTGATTAGATGGACTAGTGATCTATTTCTCTCTCTCTCTCTCTCTCTCTCTCTCTCTCTCTCTCTCTCTGTAATAATTTTTGGTAAGTTTACCAATTTTCTCCCATACAAAGGTTTACCATGGTGAGCATGTTTTCCACTAAAGTACCATAGTCAATTGTTGCTACTGTAAAAGCATAGTAAAAAATCAACTATATATATATATATATATATAATGTTTATGATGATTTTTTTTTCACAGACCCCCAGCATCTTTTTGGGGTCCCCTGACTCCAATTTTGTTTAAAAAAGGCTTTAGATTCTTGCATCAATATATTTTCTGTCCGTTAGTAAAAGTTGTTTTGACAGAGACTGTGATTTCCATGGTAAATATCTGTATGGGTTATTACCTGCCTGTGTCGTTTAAAATCATTTAGTGAATGTGTCAAAGCACAGCCAGCCAGGCTTCAGAACTTGTTTGTTTGCGAAGGGAAATTAATGAACCTTTTCTGTGTTATTGATAGTTCA